GACATTGGCCGCGGCTTCAAGGCCATTGATTTGTGATAAGCCAAAGGACTTAATACAGTGGAGTGAGCCCTGAATCGTTCTCCGGTGTTCCGTGATTCGATAGCAAGGCGTGGAAACGCCAATTGATGAGGCGGGCTTGGATGAATCATCTCTCTCGTCGGCCGTCGCGCACAACCTGCACCATTTCTGTCGGTCGCTTCATTATGCTCGCAAACTTGGGTTGCACTACACTAAGCCGAAAGACAGTTTACAGTTTCATGATTGGTTCGGTTGTGGGTCGCGTAATGCCGATGGCGAATGAATCTTCGAGTATGCAGAGCTTCATAGTCTGGCCAATACGAAATTCCAAATGAATACGAAATTTCCCAAACGCGACCCGCGCCCACCTAAATCAGTTTTTCTACAGGCGTGAGGGATACCAGAACGCAGGTTGATTCCGTCTTAGTCAGACATCGTGACCAAGGGCTCGTCACAGATGCGAAGACGCTGCCATACGAGACAGTTGGCCCCGCAGCATCGCTCACTAATCTGTACTTTGAAGATCGCAACGCCTAGACCAGAACGAAACGGGTCGAGCAATGCGGTTCCGTGAGAATTGACTGGTGGCGTTCCGCACTCCAGGGTATGATAGAGGGTGGCCGAAAAGTTCGCAAGATTGGCGCTTGGAGATAATTGAAAGGGCAAGTCAGTCAAACTGGAACACTTATGCAGTCGAGAGTTTGATCAAATAGTACCTTCGCCCAAAATTGGAAATAGACGAATACGACGTGTATTCGACCTAAGAAGCGAGGAAAGCTTAGTTCAGCTTCAGGTCATCCTAGGAAACTGATTGCGTGCTTTCAGAACAGGTAGTGTGAGTAGTTCTAAACGCCTACGACCGCGTATAGCAGAAAGTTCGGTGCGGGATTACTCTCCTGATGTCGAGAAGATCGAACTACCAACTCTATTATTTCCAACATTTACAGGGAACCTGTGGGACTGGGATCAGAGACCCGAGTTTTATTCACCATTATTCGTTTCAGCAAGTCGATCGCCGCGGCTGCACGCGAAGCAACCTCCTCCTTTTCCTTACAATTAGGCTAAGCTTGGCTTCACCGGTCACGGCGCGTACTTTCATAATAGGAAACGGTATTGTTGATTTACTTAGGCTACTAATACTGGCGCCTATTATATCAAGACCAGCGTCCTGGCTGACCGCGCATTTCTGCACGCGCAGGTTAAAACGCTAATGTTACTCCGATATTGAGCAGGATGTCTGTGCTGACATAAGCACTTAGCAGTGACACACACTCCAATTCGTATGTTTACAAAACGGCCCATTCCATCATGTTTCTCCCTTTTAATGAACACTTGCCAATGTTAGGCTCATATCATATTTCTAAAATCGCCATTCGTTGGAAATCGGGCAGCATAGCGGTTGGAAGGATTCCGATGGTAAAAATATCGAAATCACAGTGGCTCTTATCATTCCTCACTGGGCAACAACTCGGTCGCAAAAACGCTCCTTTTTTCGGGGGACTCGAGCGTTTAGCGGTGGAAGCAATTCCGACCGCTAAACTGAGGGATTTTGCGCTAAGGGAAAACATCTTGACTCATTGAGAATTTGCCCATTCATTTTTTGGCTACGGTCGATCAGTGAATGCAGAATAGGCGATCTCCAAAAGCTCTCGTCGGATTATTCTGTCAGAATTTATCCGCGCCACCTTTTAATGTTTCCTAAGTACCATCACTGAAAATTACTTGCTGGAGCAGTTCCCAGTGTTGCTATAACTCTGCAGTGAATTTTCCTGGCTATCTTATCAGCTGTTATCAATTGCTGCCACCCACCAATAATGTTCCCATACTGCCCCCTATTGTCTCAAGTCACACTAATCCGTACGAGACTGAAGGTTTGGAAGTTCGGGTGACGGGCGCTCGCTTTTCTATGACCCCTTGGTAATCTTCTATCAGTGTTATCATTCCTGCACGCCCCACCAATATGTTCTCATCTGACCCTATACTGCTCCTGGGGAACTAAAAGTCGCTAGGCGCTCGCTGTGACGCGTGTTATGGAAGTTGGCGACCCAGTCGCTTTCTAAATGACGCGCGCCTATGGTATCTTATCAGGCTGTTATGCTAATTGCCTGGCCACCAACACTCAGCGCATAATGTTCTCATCCCTGTCCCCTATACTGCCTCTTGGAACTAAAGTCCTAGCGTCGCTGTGACGCGCGTTATGGAGTCGGTGACCCTCGCTTTCTAAGACCCCCTATCACGCCCTAATGGTATGCTTATCAAGCTGTTATCAATTTCGCTGCGCACCGGTACCAATAGTGTTGCCTTGCCCAATCCTCCTACAGCTCGCTTTATCAAGTTTGAGAGCACAGTCGCTGTTTTTGAAGGAAGTTTAATTTCCGTCAAACACACATACAGACAGCAGGACATACATTCACGACACACACACCACACAGCAAGGGGCGAAGTCCCAACAGACAAACTTATAGCAGGATTATAATTATAGTGGCATAATAATATAGTGGAGTCAGCACCACGACGAGCTCACGATCCAGCCTAGCAGACGCGAACAGGTTGTGCATGGTTCGCTCTGTACTAAGAATGGTTGTGCCTTGATATAGCTGAGGGTATGCTATGACCAATCAAAAACAACATCTTTAGTCTATAACTTTATTAAACTTGTGCAGTTTTGTTAAGGCGGTTCTATTTCCTCATTATCTTGTTGTTGTGGCTGTTCCCGCCGACTCAAAAAAGTGCGCTAAAGTAACTTCTCACCGCACCCCTTCACCCTACCCCTTCCACCGCCTCCCTTCCCTGCACGTGTTCAGGTCCGGCTGTGCACGTGAAGGGACAGGAAGCAGAGGGGGCTCATCTTCACCCACCTGCTTCCGCACGAGCGACAACGTCCCAACCGAGCCAGCTCCGTGCAACTGGCAGCGTGAGTGTAACCAAAATTGTTGTCTTATATAGCGGTGGCTGTGTCACAATCAAAACATTGTATTGATACATCTGCACCAATCGGTTTTCGGTTTGCCTAGCGCTCGCATTCTCCCTCCACGAATTCGAACCGTGAACAATTTTGCGGACGGACATACATACTTACATACGTACATACAAACATACAATACAAACGCGACAGCAACGCCGTGCTGGACAAATTCTGGTTTCATTAAATGAAAGTATTTCCAAGTTTTATATTCATGTTACCGAAAAGTTTTATCGCAATTACGGGCTGGAAGACAAGCAGAAGGGAGACAATACGGAGATCATGAAAGATCTGGTGATCGCCTTAATCGACGCTGCTTAGAAAAAGACTACTTTGTGTTTCAACCTCAGTCTAGGATCAGCGCGTGAGCATTTTCAAGCAATATCTTACAGCTCAGGAGAAGCCAAAGAAAGAAGTTCTCGCGAAATTCTGGGATCGTTTACAAAGAAGAGTGCTAAAAGGCCATTATTGTACGATAGGGATCCTCTCGAATGGGAACTCCTTCTCGAAACTGTCGAGGGTATTATTTCCACGGAGGAACCAATTGCGCTGTAGAATGTCGCGTTTCCACCAACACACGACAGGTGATGGGAAATTTCGCCGGAGTCCCTGTCGGCGTTTGTATGCGGCTCTTCGAACTGAAGCACAGAAATGGTTAATGCATTGAAGATCAATTCTATCAGACACGACAAAAGAGAACGGAAAAGGCTGATGTAGACCGAAGATGATGATAACGAAACTAACCCCCAACTCTCTAGCACCCGGTCCCGGCTTTTTGGCGGCGACTAGGCGCAGCCACCATACGGCCCACAACCAAGCTTATCTGGATCAACAACAAGCTCACTTGTCGAGCTTCTAAACCTACTATTAGGAGTCACTGCTCGGAGAGATTTATATATGCGGTAAAAACTACATCTTGACTACACCAAATAATCACGCTAAGTTCACATGAATAACTGTCAGGTAAAGATTATTGGCTTAAAGCATTATGATTAGACGACGTGACCGTCACTCCGGCCGACAAAAAAGAATTTAGCTTCAGGAATTTATACAACATCAACGAACATTTCGTAATCGGCGATCAACTGATATCATCTCTTCTATCACTCATCCGAGTCATGGGCGCAGTCGGTCCTCTATAGATATTCCGTGATCTTGCCTCTTTCCGGCTGTCGTGATCCTCTCTTCTATCTTCGCTACGCAATCTTTCGCTACCCTGTCTCCTATCTAAGTTCACACGTCTTTGCTTCACTCCAAAGTCGTCGACCGGACCGCTAACGTCATCGCGATAGCATCACGTACCTGCCTGTCTTGGCAGTCTTCGAATAAGCAACCGTGTTGACATCACCTCTATCACGTTACTTCACATCAGCTTGTAATGGTGCCGCACTATACATCACCATAAGGGAGCGACTGCAAAGAGAGTGTTCCTCGTACGCGATCGCAATAGAAACTCGGCTTCTTCTATAGGAACATCCGTCTCTTTTTCTGCAGCGTGTTAAAGGCAGTTGGCACGTGGTTTCTGCTTTGGCTCGGCCTAAAATGCTAATAATAGTAGGGCGCTATGTAGTGGGGAAATGGCGAAAGAACGGAGTGAAACGGTCAAAATCCTGCGAAGAAAAAGCCTCCGTTCTCAGTGACTTGAAAATCGATTTCGGACGAGTTTCCCGTAGGCATCTTACCAATCACCGCTACCGAAGATACGGCTGCATATGTGTACCCATGTATGCATGCAGCATCACGGCCGCTTCATACCAATCCCTTCGCTTCATAATTTGCTTAGCAAATGAATGAATACGAGCGTCAGGAACGGTCGTCCATTTGTGGGCGGGCGGGCGTGGCGGGCGTTTGGGACGTAAAGTTGTGGCTTGATAGGGCCCTTATAAGGGCACCTTCCTCGGGGAAACCGCTATGCAGCGCCTGCCCAGGGTCGCGGAATTCTGTTAAGCCATTCGCATATGAGCAGAACTGACAGACGAACCAGTTTTGTATTATGTCCCATCGCTCATTTCCTTCAGTGATGTTAGAACAGGGGCAGGGAAAATGCTTCCCGGTAACATCACTAAACACATAATATCTCACTTGGTTTTTATGTCTGGTGAGTAGTTCTCCATCCTGAAAGGGAAGGTTTCCAACAAGAATTCTATTTCTTCTATGTCTTTTCGTAGATCTTCTATGAGTCGTTCAATTCATTTGCGTCCGTCTTCGCTTTGGACGATTCGCATTCTGTCTTGGAAGATCGCTGTCTGGACGGAGCTCGCTTTCAGGTTAAGAAACGCGATTCTCAGCTTCCCTCTCCTTGGGATGGTCCCGTTCTACTGCACGTCATCGCTGCTGCTTGACGTGTTCAGAGGGATGCATCCAGCAGCCCGATACCCAAGGGCCCCTAGGACTTCTGGATGTACAAGTTCAGGTATTAGGTCGTTGCAAAAGAAATGCAGGATTTCGTTTTTTGTATTTAATACTTATTTTATTCCAATAAAATGTAAGTGTTATATATCATTCGAAAGCTTATCTAATGCTCTTTCTAAATGATACTTCAAGATTGGTTGTAATTCTTTTTAGAGGCCACAAAATCGTTGAAGGCGTTTTTGACATCGTCTTGGTTTTTGAAGCCTTTCTCTCTAAGATAGTTGTCCAGATGCTTGAAAAAGTGGTGATCGGTGGGCGACAGGTCTGGTGAGTATGGTGGATGAGGCAGAGTTTCATAGCCCAATCCGTTTATTTTCTGGAGGGTAAATTGTGCAAAGTGTGGTCGGGCATTGTCGTGGAGAAGAGTCCGGAATCGTGGAGTCCCTTCATATTGACCAACCTTGGGCACATGCGTTAAGGCTTCTGATGCATTTCGTCGATTTGTTGACAGTACTTCTCTGCCGTAAGATTCCTCTGCTCGCTAAATATATCTTCACCAAGGATTCAGGTAGCTGTGTGAGAGAGACCGGCGGCAGACCACCAAACATGAAGTTCATCTTCAAGGCTGGTGTTGCCACAGCGAAACTTCTGGAACCAACGTTGGACCGTAGATTCGTTGATACTTTCTTAACCCCAAACTGTCGAGTTGATGGTTCCGAGCTTATCGTGCACGCTTTCGTCCTAGCTTGAACTCATAAAGAGAAAATAGTGCGAATTCCACCGTTTCGACATCTTGCTAATTAAAATGTACGCAATAAAAATCTATTCTTACACTTCTAATTAAACTCACATAATCTGTGCGTTGTCGGTTTGTCGCAGGTATTGTAATGTTATCGTATCTGTCTGTCGCGTTCCGCCAAAATGCCTTACGCCGCGGCTTCAAAACCACCTCCAGTGTGAGAGTTTGACCGCTAAAGCCGGTGGCGAAAACCACTTGGTGCAGATGTATCAATCCAAGTCGTTATCTTCAGGTATTGACTGGTACTCCATTTGCCCATCAGCTCGGAGGCAAGTGCTCTAGTAGTTTGAAGTTGACTCTCCCTTATGCCGTAAACTTCTCTGAGCATAGGGACCAGCACGCATCATATATCATCTCCACATCTGTTGGGCACGGTCCGGGATCTGGATGTGGAATTTTGAATCCGTTTCCTTCAAAAGCGATATCCCCACTACTTGTTCTTTTGCAGCTTTTCGAAACGTTTTCCGAATAGTCTTGTTATGAGGATTTCAGGTTGTTGAATGTTTTGTGGAAAAGCTGGTTGATGTGCTGAGCATTCGTATGAAAAGGACCTGCGTTGAGATCTTTTTCCGAGTGTGTCATTTCCTGTTCCATTTCCTGGCGCAGTATGGTGAATCGTTTCGTGCTCGTATCTAACTGCTCTAACTGGAGCAGTCCCTTCCACTTGACAATCCTAAGATACTTCTCCGTACAGATCATCTGGAAGGTCCCCAAAGGATAGCGTGTTTATCCGGGTTTGAGCGGCCAAACTTGTATCCGTTCTTGGGGGCTGTGCTTCATAATTTTCTGAGTTTCCTATTACGTAACTTAGTGTCCTTCCTGAACTCTACCTGTCAGCGGATGGCTCAAATGAGTTGAGAGTAGATGTAGCCCTGGAAGGTGATCTGAACGAAAAAGAATCTCAGGATTGTCAAGTGGAAGGGATACTGCTCCAGTTAGATACGAGCACGAAACGATTAACCTTACTGCGCCAGGAGATGAAACAGGAAATGACACACTCGGAAAAAGATCTCAACGCAGGTCCTTGTCATACGAATGCTCAGCACATCAACCAGCTTTTCCACAAAGCATTCAACAACCTGAAATCCTCAGAACAAGACTATTCGGAAAGCGTTTCAAAAAGCTGCAAAAGAACAAGTAGTGGGGATATCGCTTTCGGAAGGAACGGACTTCAAAATCCACATCCAGATCTCGGACCGTGCCCAACAGATGTGGAGATGATATATGATGCGTGCTGGTCCCTATGCTCAGAGAAGTTTACGGCATAAGGGAGAGTCAACCTCAAACTACTAGAGCACTTGCCTCCGAGCTGATGGGCAAATGGAGTACCAGTCAATACCTGAAGATAACGACAAGAGCGTGGCTAAAGAGCCAGTGACGGTAAGTCCAGCAAACTGTGGTGCTCGCGCAGTGGAACTACTTCTTCCAGAACCGAAAGAACTAGTGTTGATAGCGTACCTGAACTTGTACATCCAGAAGTCCTAGAGGCCCGTGGGTATCGGGCTGCTGAACCATCCTTCTGAACACGTCAAGCAGCAGCGATGACGTGCAATGGGACCATTCCAAGGAGAGGGAAGCTGAGAATCGCGTTTCTTAACCTGAAAGCGAGCTCCGTCCAGACAGCCAACGACTACGCAAGAGCCCGGCCGCATGGATGCAATACGTGATCACCATAGAAGACCATCTCCGCGCAGGTTTCATAGAAGAAGTCGAGGAACATGTTTTTGATAGTCATCGTGTCTATTACATCCCGCACCAGGCTGTCTACAAAGAATCTTCCTCCACGACGAAACTGCGCATCGTCTTCGACGCATCATCCAAAGTACGAGGAGCACCTAGCCTTAACGATTGCATACATCAGGGACCCACCTTGCTGCCAGACCTCGCAGGCATCCTACTCCCGCGCGCAATGGTCTACATCGTTAGCAAATCGCCAGATGTCGGAAAAAGTCTCGCTTCTACGCGAATTTCGCCTTCAGGCCTACCCTATGTTGATGCTACTCGTTTCCTGTGCCTCCGAGATCCGAAAAGTCCCCCATCCATCGGCAATTTACACATCTTCCGCTTCACTCGCGTCCCATTCGGGATCAACGCTTATCCGTTTATGCTCGCAGCGTCCATACAGCACTACTTACGTCATCTCAACTGCCCGCGGCTTACCAAACGAAATTGAGCGCAACAGCCTATGTTCCCCCCGGGATAATGTAGTCCTTGGAGCTGCGTCGCACAATGAAGCCGGTAACAAGTATCGCTTAGCGATGTTCGTCTTTGGTTATATGCAAATGAACTTACGTCAGTTCAGTGGTGCGCAACCTCCGAAAAATCGTACCATAATGCGATACCTGTCCTGAGGCAAATACGAAGATGCTGGGCACTAGCGCAAACGACGAAACAGCCACTTGGCTGCTAGCGGGATGCTGGAACGCTTATTTGAGATAGCGTTTTCATCAGTCGCAAAAAAAAACGTCGACGATCCATAGTTCACTCTAAGCGCACAGCACTCCGTGCCCTGGCTATGGCTATGGATATGGCCACCTTAGCCACCTATGATCCTCTTGGCCTTCTGACCAATTTCTTCGTCAACATTAAGATATTCATACAAGACTTGTGGTCGAAGGAACTAGCTTGGGATGACCAGCTAGAGGAATCGGATCGTCAGCGTTGGTCAGATCTTCTTGTCGACATCAGCGAACCACTTCCACCTATACCTAGGCCAATTAACACGAAACCTCTGCGCTCTACCACTGTTGAACTGTGTGTCTTCGGAGATGCTTCCAAACGATTGTACGCTTGCTTGTGCTTACTTCATCAATCGATCCGCATCGTCTGCGACATCACGACTCGTGATGGCCAAGTCGCACCTCAATGACCTCAAACCAATAACAGTACCAAGAGCTGAACTCCTTGCGATCCTCATCAGTGTCCGCCTTGCGCAGTACATTGTGAAGCAATTGGACGTGCCTATAGCCGCAGTCCACTTGTTCTCAGACTCGCAAATCGCCTTGTACTGGATCCATTCAACGCATCAGTTCAAAACTTTCGTCCAGAATAGAATCAATACAATAAGAGGCATTGTGACTTCATTACAAAACCAGGGAATTTTCACCAAGTTCTACTACGTCCCTTCTGAAGACAATCCCGCAGACTGGGCAACACGTGGCATATTCACAAAACACGCTAAGGACCACATTTGGATATAGACTTCACAATTACCTCTGACGCGGACTGCGAGTCAGAATATCGCACAATACACAGCATTCAACAAAACAACTTCATATCAGCCCTTCCATTCTCTGCCACTAACAATTATACAAAGTTGCTAAAAATCACAGCGTACATACTCCGCTTTCTACATATGAAGATCTTTTCCCGCACTTCGCCTACATGGCAGGAGCGCCTGAAAAGATCTTTTCCGCAACTAACCCACATTAGCGTTAAAGACGCCTTTACCGCCGCAGACATGGCTGCCGCAGAGACCGTGGTCATTCTAGCGCACTATCGCGAACATGAACACGTTCTTCAGCGGCTTCCGCTGGCACAATTCAATGCGCAAAAAGCGGAAGATGGACTCATTCGGTGCCCGGACCGCGTATACCCACGGTCGAGGGCGCCAATAGCCTTCTACCGTCGCACAAGTTAACCACTATAATAGTCTACCATTACCACCTGCGTCGATATCACGCTGGGGTCTACTCAACAATCGCAGCCCTCCGCGCAAACTATTTTATACCATCAATACGCACGCTGGTAGCCAAAACATTGCGCACATGCACTATCTGCAGAAAAGCTAACGGACACGCCTATCGTTACCCGCATATGCCGACTCTGCCGAAGGAACGCGTCACAAGATCTAGGCCGTTCCAGAACGTAGGGATCGACTACTTAGGTCCTTTGACTTATAGAAACGTCTTCTCAACGGTAAACAAAATTTGGGTATGCCTTATAACATGCATGTCCACTAGAGCCGTCCATCTTGAACCCGTTATGGATAACACCGTTCAAGAGTTTCTTCTAGCCTTTCGCAGATTCGTAGCGCGCAGGGGTACGCCAGACCTCATCTACAGCGACAACTCCGCAACGTTCCGTGCAGCTGACGATGCGATCAGCAACGTCATCTATGCGCCTTCCTCATGGCGCACAATCGCCGACTACAGCGCGAAAAACAAAATTACGTGGCGTTTTATAACTCCCCTATCACCCTGGAAAGGTGTATTCTACGAAGCATTGTGCAATTTTTCAAAAAGGACATTTCCGGCATAAACAGTGGGACGCACTTCTTTGACTCTGGAAGATTGTTCTTGCACAAAGCCGTCGCAAGAAATTAGACAAAGCAGTCCTCAACTCCGCTTCCCATCACTCCCTTTCGCGAAGCGAACGACATTTCTCGCATGCCCTAAGGCCAGTCGATCGTTCATCGCTCGCATGAAAGCACGCAAACTCCAGATTCCACCGGACGAGCGGACTCGAATCCGCGCTTGCCATCTCCTCCTGGCGTGACGTGTGGCGCCGAGCTCTTCCCCTGAGCATCGATCATCTCCCCCGAGCTCGCCTCCCCGCCTGCAAGAGTAATTAGCATCAGCGGATCATCGTGCCTCAGCAGACTGGTATAGGAATCGCAGCTCGGAGCCCTAAATAAAGCTTCTGGGAAGAGCTTTGGCACTCAGAGCTATCTCGGCAGCAGCTCCGAGAGCGCGCACCAGATCGCATATCGTCAGTCCAAGAATGGCGCAACGGCCTTCGACCTCACGTTAATGGACGTGTAATAGTCGCAAGAAATGAAGAAATTAGCGAAGAGCACAGTGGCCATTGGGGTGCGTGATCAGTTCAATATATAATAACGCGTGCGCGTAGAAAGACTAAGCAACGCCAGCCGCGGATGTTCGCATGAAAAAATCGGTCGCAAGATCTTTGGCTCGCGGATAAGGTTTTAGCGAAGTCACGTCAACCTGTGCACCGGTTTCGGAACGGATCGGAGCAAACACGAGCAGATTCACCAAGCCAGGACGCGCCGCAAAAATCCGAACGCAAGCCGTCAGAAAACGCGATCTATAACACGAACAACCGACGCAAGGCACCAATGTCCTCGCGCGAAAACAAACGCTCGCAGACACGCCTAGAAACTTCACCACAACTTCCGGCAATTCCATAACGCAAACATATAAAAATGCAGAAGCCTTTACGTAATAATAGTCCCAAAACCCACTTGCATGATGAGGCGGCAATAGCCTACAAAAAAGGCGCTGGAATTTAAAGATAGAAAAAAAAATTCCGCGGGAGAAACAAGTGTTCGGGTAATTGGTGCTCAGTGCACGCTCGGATTGGGGATGCAGTGGCCGCATATTTTGTAAAACCGCTCCCGTCAGCCGCGAAAAAAAAGTCGGAAAAAAACCCCATCGGCGAACCCCCTGAACCCAGACCTTCCCTTCAAGCAGTAGGGGCGGGCCTGACAATGCTCGTGCCGGAATGTGGCTTGCCAATAACAATGGATCCGGCAGCCGGCAGTTTGCTCCCGACTTTCGAAATAGGATACTTGTCGAAACGCTGATACTCTTTGAAAGCACCTGCAGGCACAAGACAACAACAGAGATGCGCACAAAGGCAAGTGCACATATCCCTGAGACAAATGTACTGTTCGACAGTAGCCAGGAAGCAGTCAAGGAAAGAAATCAGAGAATGACGGTAAGGCCGCAAGGCACGATGTTGCTCGCTGGGAGTGTGTATATCTTGCACAAACATCCCGTGCCGCCTAACCTTATATCTCTTGTAGGAGCCCATCTCTTAAAACTGAGCAAATGGTAGCGAACTCCTTTTCAGAAGTGAGTCTCTAAAGCTGTGGATGAAAGAGAAGAATCAACTATAAAAAAACAGTTCAGATGCCGACGAGCGAGCATACTTCTTCTCACTTTACCAGCTGTGTGACGTGCCCTGTATTGTACAGGAGAATGCCCCGATTCCGCTGCTAACACGGAATGCGTCATAGTTCGTGCGCGCAAAGACGACTACAGCGAAACAGGCGGCCGAGTGGCAGCGTTGTGTTTTGTAAAACTCCCAAATCAGCTGTTGAGGCCGGTGTTCGAAGTCATTTCTCATATACGTAGCCACCTCTAAAGTGAAGTACCTCGTATTCGTAAAAAGCCAGTGTAGATAGCATGTTGTTCACATTCGAGCAAGTACGGTTTTAACAATTGTCTCGAAAAACTCTACGCCTAAAATGGGCCCTCGAAAAATGCCGTGTTTTTATCCTTGTGCTTTGACGGTTTATGCTCAC